TGTGTGTGTGTGTGTGTGTGTGTGTGTGTGTGTGTGTGTGTGTGTGTTTTTTGCAGGGTTGTTTACAGCGTTCTGATTGAGAGCTGGGAGATCGTTGGGCCGTACCAGACCTGGTGGTTGCTCAATGGGTTGCTGTTGGTGCTGCAGACTCTTCACATCATCTGGTTCTACCTCATCGCTCGCATCGCTATCAAAGCCATATTCAAGGGGAAGGTCAGTGTGGCTGTGCGTTTTGGTTTTTAGCCACGCTAGCGGCATCGCTTCATGGATGGCATCGTCAAGTCAACTATTGGTTAGATTGATATTAAAATTCATGGTCCCCGCAGGATGAGTACGACAGAGTTTGGTGATTCCTCGGACGTCTCCTCTGGCGCCACCATGAGACATTTCTGTGTTATTTAGTAAACTGTCTCGACGACTATTGGATAATCTTTACGAACACATTCTGCATTCACGTGTAGAATCTGTTAAGATTTTAGCATCTGAAGCGTTCCTAGTTTCATTTTGTAGTCTGAGCACTATCGACCAATCAGGTTGGAGCAGGCTTTGGTTGAATGCAGGTAAACAAGTCCGTGTGGAGAGCAAAATAAATTGTAATCCCAGGGACAGTGATTTAGCTTTTCATTGGTTTAAAATGAGCTTGTTAGCTGGCTGATTGTGAAGCAATCCGGTTGTGCACGTCGTCTCTCGTCTCTTGCTTCTGGAGTTGCTATTTTGAGTGTAAACGACGAGCGGCGCACAGAAAAGGAAGTCTTGACCCGGATATCTGCTAGCTACACTGGAACCCTAGAAATATAACCCCTTTGTCCCTTAGAGGCTTATCATCAGACCGATGCATGATGGGTTAAAAGAGACTATTGGGTGGATTTCCACTAAATTTGGCTTAGACATCCATCTTTGGTGATCCTTCGTCTTTCCATCATTAGGTCAATTTAAATAAATGCAATACTTTGGTTTATCACCAAACGCCTGTAAAAACCAATGCCATTACCAACGGCCTCGTCTGTACTTTGTTAAGTATAAAAAAATGACGTGACGTTTTGTTTCCTCAGTATTCCAGTTGACAGTAAAACCGTCTTAATCCCGTTTGTATTTCATTGTGCAGGTGGCGAAAGACGACCGCAGTGACGTCGAGAGCAGCACGGACGAGGAGATTTATTCCACTTCCAGTAAAAATCCCAGTCAGACCCTCAAACCAAAGGACATCGGCCACACTAGCAACCTTAACGGAGACGCTCACGACCACTGAGCACCATGAGGGGGATGTTCACCTCCAGTGAGGCTTTTATTCACCTGCTGAGTGTCTGTGTGACCCACTTCGTCACTTTGACCTCTTGAAAAAACACCAAAAAAAAAAGACCTGAAACTTTTTTTTTTTGAACCAGAAAGATTTGCTGAGTCGTAGGAATGGAGAGTGGACTTGGATACAGAGGGGAAACCCTTCTGTGTGGAATAAAGACCGTCTTACTGAGTCGGGTTTACACTGTGTGAGGTTTAAACCTGCTTTTTGCTTACAGGAGTAGACAGAGCTGTTTGTGTGTAGAAGTTAGAAATGGAGCATGTCAGCACAACTATTGTCAAAATGCATTTTCTACCTGTAAATACATTTTATTTGTGAAATTGGTAATATATTTACAGCTGTAAAACAAAATCACTGCAATCTGCCTTAAACCGTTTACTGTCCCGTAAGCAAAATCTCTTAACATGCCAAAGATTTCTTAATAAAACATGATAGTACCAAATTCAGCAATGAATGTGATGGATTTTTATTATTGTTATATATGTGCAACTGACAACTATTTTAATCTTCCTTATTATATCTGTGTGATCTAAATAAAGAAAAAAGAGTGCATTTTCTTGAAGGTAAGCTTATTATATTTCTTATTTTGTCAGATAAACAGTCCAAACTTAAATATATTTCAATTACTTTGACATATTGTCAAGAAAAGCAAAAGCAAACTTCTCATTTGAGAAGCTGGAATCGGTGAATGCGCCATTTTTACTTGAAATACGATTTAAAATAACTTTTGGTGATTGTTTTTTTCTGTTAATCATTTCAACTTTAAAAAAATAAACTGCACGTGAGCAGTCTGAGACGAATCCTCAGTCTTCAGTATCTGATTTTGTCACACTCGTCCATCATCTCAAAGACGTCCTCACTGAAGTCGTTGTACTTCAGGCTGAAAGAGACAGAAGGCAGCAGTTGTTTGTTTCAACATGTTTAAACTTCATGTTTTAGATGGTTTGTAGTCTGAGTGAATCGGGGCTTACTTCATCTCCAGCATGTTGTCGCTGTCCTGCATGGCGTGGACAAGGGCTGGGACGGAGTCGTCCGTCAGCAAGTTGTTTCTCAGTTCCAGGCTCTTCAGAGTCTTGTTGGCTCTCAAAGCGGCACACAAGTCCTGAACGCAGTCATCCGTCAAACCAGTCATCTCGACACTATCGACAAAGAGAGGCAGTTTTTAAATACACAGCAGTAAAAGGAGTGTTTTTTGTTTTATTTACAATTATCAACTCACTCCAGCTCCTCCAGCAGACAGCTTGGATGTGCAACAGCATCCCAGAGGTGTTTGACCCCCTGGTCTCCCACTTCATTTATACCGACGATCAGGGACTTCAGTCGAGAAGAGCCACCTCTCAGCACCGAGCCCAGCTCCTCGAACACCGGCTGGGTTAACTCGCATCGCTGCAAGCTGCAGGGTGGAGCAGAATACACATTTAAATGTTTGTGAAAGGTGGTACTTCATCACTGGAGAGGAGCGTTGAATGGGCTGTGACTCCACCTGAGCTTCTCCATTGGACATCCAGGTCGACGGAGGGCTTGGCAGAGCAGCAGCGCCCCCTCCTGGAACAACTCGTTCACTGACAGGTCCAGTTCAGACAGGAAGCAGTGCTCCGACATCAAGGCCTCCGACAAACCAGGACAGCATTCTGCGGTCAACTCGCAGTCAAACAGACTAAAGTAAAAAGATACACAAATGGTGTTAATTAAAATATGTATACATGGATATGAATGTACGATTTATCAAACAAATTATAGATTTGATTTAGGTGTTAAAGGTACAGTGTGTAGGATTTAGGGGCAGAAATCTAAATGAATACTAACGAGCACATACTAACTCCAATTTATCCGAAAAAATGTGATTGCTTTGCTCCAAAGTTCTTCATTAAATGAGAAAATACTATTTGAAGATTTTGGCCATATTGCCCAGCCCTCCTTCATAGGGAGCGGGTCCTCTTCACGGAGTCCGCCATGTTTCTACGGTAGCCCAGAATGGACAAACCAGACACTCTGTGCATTCCAATAACCATATTACTATACTATTCAGTATGCCAGGAAAATATTTAGCATGTCCTGATATATAGTGTGTCAAACATACCAGGATGTTCTGCATCTGGGGGCATTTTGCAGTATGAAACTCCAACATGTTTTTCTGGCCCACAATCCTCTGCGCTGACACATGCTGTGCCTTTAAGTAACATATTCGAATCATGTCCTTTTTTTGCGGTTTTGTCATCTCGTTGCAACACAGACTTACGTGAGGCCCTGCAGTTTGCAGAGCGGGTGCTGCAGGGATTCGCACAACGCCTTCACTCCCCTCTCACCGATCACGTTTTGCGTCAGGTCCACTTTTCTCAACTCCGATTGGCCCGAACACAAAGCCGCTGAGAAAGCCTCCATGGATGCAGCAGTCAACTCACACTTTTGTAGCCTTAAATAAACAAAACAATTCAAAAGATAAATACACAACTCTGACAATAAACAAGACTTGTAATACTAATACTGCCCAGTATAAAGTACATACTGGAGCTCCTGGAGTTTGCAGAGAGGACTTTGAAGCGCTTTGCAAAGTTTCACGAAGCCCTGGTCCCCGATCTGATTGAACGGCATGTCTAACACACACAACTGAGGGGCGCCTGAGGTCAAGACAGACGCCAGATCTCCACAGATCGCCTCGGTCAGTTTGCATGCTCGGAGTCTGAAGTAAATAAGAAGCAAAACATCAAGGATTTATTAATGTCTGTTGACATGAAGGCACATTTTAAAAGAATCCCTTTAATCTTACTTTAATGTGTGCAGCTTGCAGTTTCTGAGTCCAGCGCAGAGAATTTTGAACTTCTCATCTCCGAGGTGGGATTGAGAGAAATCCAGCTCCTTGGTGAGTCCTCTGCTGAGAGCCGAGGCCAGATGAGGGACCGCATCGGTACTCAAGGAGCTGTCCGTCAAGCTGTGGGGGGAAAACAGACGGAGCGATCTTACATACGACGGCGTACTGAACGCAGGAAATGGATCGAGGCCGAGACACGTGGACTTACTTTATCTTGTGTGACAAGCTCATAGTCGGAGCCAGCGTCTCTGCTTGCTCCTCCGTCAGATTCCTCGTTCGGTACAGATTCAACAGCTCCATCTTACCGAGGCACGTGGCGACATAGTTCAGGGCCGCACAGTCCTGGAGGTTCAGGTCTCCGTAGCTGATGCCGATCCGTGCCGAGGGGGTGACGATCTCTTTCACCAAACTCTCGTTTTGAGCTTGAAGAAGCAGATGGAAGCAGTGGTGGTGTTTGTCCTTGTACCATTCCTTCAGCGTCACCTCAGAGGTGCTTTTGAACCAGCGGTTGAAGTTGGTGATCCGATCAGAGTTCATCTCTCCCAGCAGGGTCTCCAGCGGTCTGCGCTGAAGTGGCCCCGAGAGCCCCGACAAGAAGACATCTAGAAACGTTGCATGGCCTTTGTGCTTTTCCAACATCTTCTCCACACCCTCAGACGTCGACGTGTCCAAAAGGAAAGCCGTGGCCAAGATGAAGTCCTGCATCAGTTGGGAGTGGAAGGAGAAGACGCGTCCGTCCGACCGGTCGCCATCTACTCGCAGAAAGCTGCCAACCGAGGTGAGAAACCGTTGAAGACCAAAAGAATCCATTTCCTCTTTGGTGCAACTCGAACGCTGGTCGAGGAGGCAATGAGACGCCATCTTGCCGAGGGCCAACACCAGGTCTCTGCTGTGGGCCTCGTTCAGCTGGAGCGTCTGAATCAGGTGGACCAGGATGTCCACGTACAGCTGAGACAGCGTTTCAGGAAGCTTTGCTCCAGCATCCATCAGAGACTTGTAGACGGAACAAACCGTCCAACAAAATCTGGGGGAGGTGCAGACATCATAAAAGCCTAGAGTGCTTTCCATGTGTACTCTTGCTTTGTTGGCAGCAGCCGGGTCAGCGAAGAAGAACCCCTTGAAGTAGGCTTCTCTCTGTGGCTTCAGAAACCCCAACACCTGCACCCGGGCGCCACTCAGAAACTTCTGACACTCGACCGGCCTGGACGCCACCAAGAAGGCGGCTCCTTTCAGCAGCGATCCGTGAAGCAAGCTGGACACTAAGCAGGACACATGGACCGCCTGTCCGGGGTCAGAGCAGAGGGGGAGGACGGAGGGGTCCAAGCTGTGTTTCCACTGATCCAGATCATCAAAAACAAACAACACACCCTCTGGATTCTGCAGGAGTTGGGGCACGGACTCTGGAGGGAGACAGCCGTGGTGGCGCAGCATTAATGTCTCCAGGGAGAGCGTCCCGTTGAGGGAATTCAACTCCCTGAACCGGAAGTGGAAAACAAAGAAGAAGTTCTGAAGGTGCTCCCCTTTGGCCCAGCCCACAACTAGCTTCTCCAGAGCAGTGGTTTTACCCGACCCTTCAGGGCCGACCAGCACCGCAGTCCTGGTTCCATCAGACAGGGCAGTGTGGACGGCGCCATCGACAGAGGGCCAGTTGTCGTCCACATTTCTGTCCGTCCCCTGGGCTTCAGCGGTCAGCAGGGAGATGTACTTATTGTTCTTCATCACACTGACAGGCAGCTCTCCTCCAAGAAGTGTTGACGTGTCATTTGACTGCAGGATGCGAGTCAACACAGCGTCTTTGTCCATGTTGTAAGTCACTGTAAAATACAAAGCAGTTAAAGGAATTGTCCGTCTGCAGAAATCAAAAAACATGCAACTCATGTCTGCAAAATGACAATCATTAGCTGTACTTCCTGACATTAAAAGCTGTCTAGCCAACATGTCTAGTAACAATGCAGATCTGGAATCTGTCAAAACACGGAAGTGGAAGAGCAGTTACCTTGTAGAAACTCCACTGGGGAAACAAAGTGAGACTAAATATCTTTATGAAAAGCAGACAGATGTTTTAATAGTCGGGGTTACGTCTGCACTGGGAACGGAGCAGGAGTTGCGCTCGAGCTAACTGCCAAGAAAACCGCACCCAGCACAAAACAGGAAGTACTTTGTGTTTTCAAGCCCTGCGCGCTGCCTTGCAGACGGCCATGTAGTGTCATGTGACCGAACTATTTTAATGCACTCCTAAGTTTTATTTTTTCATATTTTACTCTAATGCATTTCAGAGGGAAATGTTTTGCTTTTTACTCTGCACTGTATTTATTTGACAGCTTTAATTACTTTGCAGATCCAGGTTATTAATACAAAATATACATTTTTTTAACGTGTTAGTGTAGATTAAACTACCCAGCAGTAGATGACGTAGTCATAATGAATCCCACCATCATCCCATCAATTGTCTGATCATAATCCAATAATTCTGATGCTAATAGGAGCTATTTTCAAAGTACATTTATCTGATAACACTGGACTTGTTCTTAAAGGCTCAGCGTGTAGCATTTAGTGGGATCTATTAGCAGAAATGGAATATAATATTCACAACTATGTTTTCATTTGTGTATAATCACCTGAAACTAAGAATTGTTGTGTTTTTATTAGGTTAGAATGAGCCCTTCATATCTACATAGGGAGCAGGTTCAAGGCTATATTAAATGAAGGCTGGGACGAGGTTTTGAGCTACAGGGGTGTGAGACATGTACAGTGTTACAAAGTGGACCGGTTTGTTCACGGACAGGACAGGAGGGCTCTACAGTCCGTGATTAAAACCGCCCAGAACATCATCGGGACCCATATATTGAGCATCACTGATATTGGTGACAAGAGGTGCCTGCTTTAAGGATATTAAATGACAAAATCCACCCGGCCACAGTGTGTTCACGCTGTTTCTGTCTGAGAAAGCATACAGAAGTATCAGCTGCCAGTCCACCGGACTTCAGAGCCATTTCAATTTATCGACCAACCTACACCATATGATATAGTTCGACATTAAAAATAAAGTGGTGTATTTGACTCTACATGGAACATAATTTACTAAATGAATATCATGCTGTATTGAAGAAGACTTGAAACTAGAGATTGAGACCATAAACTTCTTTACCACCAGAGGAGTCGCCCCCTGATGGCCATTACAAAGAATGCAGGTTTAAGACACTTCAGCATTGGCTTCACTTTACAGACCCGGAGGTTGTCGCCTGATTATCACTCAAGAAAAAAGGAACACAAAGGATCATGCAGCTGGAAACGTCTTTATTGTAAACACAGTAATGAATGTGATATCCAATAGGAGGAGAAAAATAAACAAAAAATACACACATGTGGCTCATTGGTGCAGTTGGCTCATTGTAGGTCACAAAGAGGTTCATGTTAGGGTTACAGTTACATTGTTACAGTGAGCCAGCTGGCTAATGTGCTGCAGTGTTGTTTTCTGCCTTAGTATGTTCTGCCATTGGTCTCCACTGTCTTGATGAGAACTGCATGTTGCCCGCCCGACTGGTGGTTGTTTACTTGGGTCGCTGTGGTGAAGAGGAGAGTGGAAATGTCACATATACACAGTCACACACACACACTCACACACACACACACACACACACAGCGGGCAACCCATCCTAATGCGAGGGGTAAAAAAACAACTGTTTAAAACAATACTTACACTTGGAGGCAACTGTTTGGATGTTGACAATAGAGTGCTGTCCAAGTCTGTGAGTGAGAAAGCAGGAACTACAGTGGGTACGGAAAGTATTCAGACCCCTTTAAATTTTTCACTCTTTGTTTCATTGCAGCCATTTGCTAAAATCAAAAAAGTTCATTTTATTTCTCATTAATGTACACTCAGCACCCCATCTCGACAGAAAAAAACAGAAATGTAGAAATTTTTGCAAATTTATTAAAAAAGAAAAACTGAAATATCACATGGTCATAAGTATTCAGACCCTTTGCTGTGACATTCATATTTAACTCACATGCTGTCCATTTTTTCTGATCCTCCTTGAGATGGTTCTACTCCTTCATTGGAGTCCAGCTGTGTTTAATTAAACTGATTGGACTTGATTAGGAAAGGCACACACCTGTCTATATAAGACCTTACAGCTCACAGTGCATGTCAGAGCAAATGAGAATCATGAGGTCGAAGGAACTGCCCAAGGAGCTCAGAGACAGAATTGTGGCAAGGCACAGATCTGGCCAAGGTTACAAAAGAATGTCTGCAGCACTCAAGGTTCCTAAGAGCACAGTGGCCTCCATAATCCTTAAATGGAAGAAGTTTGGGACGACCAGAACTCTTCCTAGACCTGGCCGTCCAGCCAAACTGAGCAATCGTGGAAGAAGAGCCTTGGTGAGAGAGGTAAAGAAGAACCCAAAGATCACTGTGGCTGAGCTCCAGAGATGCAGTAGGGAGATGGGAGAAAGTTCCACAAAGTCAACTATCACTGCAGCCCTCCACCAGTCGGGGCTTTATGGCAGAGTGGCCCGACGGAAGCCTCTCCTCAATGCAAGACATATGAAAGCCCGCATAGAGTTTGCCAAAAAACACACGAAGGACTCCCAGACTATGAGAAATAAGATTCTCTGGTCTGATGAGACCAAGATTGAACTTTTTGGCGTTAATTCTAAGTGGTATGTGTGGAGAAAACCAGGCACTGCTCATCACCTGCCCAATACAATCCCAACAGTGAAGCATGGTGGTGGCAGCATCATGCTATGGGGGTGTTTTTCAGCTGCAGGGACAGGACGACTGGTTGCAATTGAAGGAAAGATGAATGCGGCCAAGTACAGAGATATCCTGGAAGAAAACCTCTTCCAGAGTGCTCTGGACCACAGACTGGGCTGAAGGTTCACCTTCCAACAAGACAATGACCCTAAGCACACAGCTAAAATAACAAAGGAGTGGCTTCGGAACAACTCTGTGACCATTCTTGACTGGCCCAGCCAGAGCCCTGACCTAAACCCAATTGAGCATCTCTGGAGAGACCTGAAAATGGCTGTCCACCAACGTTCACCATCCAACCTGACGGAACTGGAGAGGATCTGCAAGGAAGAATGGCAGAGGATCCCCAAATCCAGGTGTGAAAAACTTGTTGCATCATTCCCAAGAAGACTCATAGCTGTACTAGCTCAAAAGGGTGCTTCTACTCAATACTGAGCAAAGGGTCTGAATACTTATGACCATGTGATATTTCAGTTTTTCTTTTTTAATAAATTTGCAAAAATTTCTACATTTCTGTTTTTTTCTGTCAAGATGGGGTGCTGAGTGTACATTAATGAGAAATAAAATGAACTTTTTTGATTTTAGCAAATGGCTGCAATGAAACAAAGTGAAACATTTAAAGGGGTCTGAATACTTTCCGTACCCACTGTACGTGAGTGAGGGGAATTCCTCTGGTCATGCACAGTGTAATCATGTTCACTTCCTTTATGTTTGATCATGCTGAATCCTACAAAGTAACCTTTGTCTTAAGGAATCTTGGCCTGATTGCCTCAACCAAGGCAGAGGTCATCAGGAGATGATGAGAAGGCCAGTGAACCTTCTCTAATGTATAAAGAGAGACAGCAACGTCCCATCTGGGTGCACATTTCAACCTAACACTTGTCCTGTGTACCATGTTCTGAGCATTAAAAGTGTGACAAAACTGAAAGATTTCTGTCTCGTTCCTCGTTGTCGGAGTGGGATTACAAAATTGCCACGTGACATATACAAACACAGAAAACTGTAAGCATTGATATAGTGGCATGTGAGTTTTGAAGCTGTGTGTATGGACTTAAAAAGCCCTTAAAAGCCTAAATTACACATCAACCAGTGAGTTATTATGTAGTGACAACTTGACACGGCAGAGATCTCTGCCAATGCGACGCACCTTTCTTCCTCTCCCTCCAGCAGCTTCCTGTAGGTGGAGATCTCGATGTCCAGGGCCATCTTGAGATTCATGAGCTCCTGGTACTCTTTGAGCTGCAGAGCCATGTTCTGCTTGGCTCTCTGCAGAGCCAGCTCCAGGTCCCTGATGCGAGCCTTGGCGTCCTGCACGGCCCCCTCCCCGCGCTGCTCCGCGTCGGCTATCTGGCCCTCGAGGTTGGTGCGCTAGAAAATATTGCAGGTGGCGGGAGGATTCGACAAGATTTGAGCATGCAGATTACCCCTTTAAAATAGAGGGTTGACATGAGTCATGTTAATGTGTCAAAAGCAATGAACTCTGTTGTTGTTAATGTGTTTAACTCTGCCCTGAGGAGGAGTACTAAGGTTGTACTAAAGTTGATTTATTTATCCTTTCCTGGTTTATAACACCTGAGGCTTAAAGCATGCATTATCTGTCAAATTTCATGACCAAACAAGTCCAGTTGCCTTTGACTTTCACCTTATTATGCACTCCATGAACCTTTTCACTCACCTGTGCATTTACAGCCTGGATTTCATTCTGCAGGCGGGCAATTATTCGGTTGAATTCAGATATCTGCCCCTTGGTGCTGCGCATCTCATTGCCATACTGGTCTGCCTCAGCACTCATCTGGTCAAACTGGTGCCGGCAGAGATCAAACCAAAGAACAAATTGACGAGATCAGTAATTATCAGGTTTGACAAGAGTGGTTTCTAGTATTCTAGTACATGCATGAGCTTTGGTTAACTGCTGACCCCTTTCATGTTTGTAGTTTAAAAGAGAAACTTTGTTTTTACCACAAATTACATTACATAAACGGTTACTTTGTAAGTCTGAATCCCTCGTGTTTTAGCTCTTTACCTTGCTCTTGTGCCAGCTTTCAGCTTCTTCTCGGCTGCGAGCAGCGATGTCCTCATACTGAGCCTTGACCTCGGACACCACCTGATCCATGTTAAGGCCGCGGGAGTTGTCCATCTGCACCACCACAGAAGTCTCCTTCAGGCTCTCCTGCAGCTCATGCAGCTCCTTTTTTTTAACCAAACAATACAGCAACAGTAAGAAGACATAATCCTCACATTCTGCATGTATTTTCTTACATCGTACTAGTTTAATGGATGTGTACCTCGTTATACAGAGTCTTGAAGAAGATGACTTCATCACTGATTAAAGACACCTGGTCTTCCAGGTCCACCTTGGACATGTAGCCGGCGTCCACATCCTGCAGGCAGCCAGAGAAAAACAAACAACCTTGTGTCAGTGCTTCTTAAACCTTTTGACAGACACGTTTGCATTTCATGTTTCAAATGTGCGGCTGCACTAAAATAATGATACGCTTTATTTATATGGCACTTTTAATGACATAAAATGCAGCTCAAATTGCTTCACAAGAGAAACAAAGAAATAACAGGTATTTAAAAACAATGAAATAATAAGATACAAAGAAATTGAGATACAAAATAGAATAAAACAAGTATGAGAAAAACAAAGTAAATATAAAAGGAAGGCAGTTAGAAAAAGCCCAACAAGGAAAAGTATTAGGAGAGAAAATGCTTAGAAAACCGTGAATGTAATGAGTTTTATATAAAAGAGTTTAACTTTAAAAGGGATCACCATTCATCAGTGTCTATCATGACTGCATACTGTACCTTTTTCATCATGACGAACTCGTTCTCTCCTTCAATCCTCTTGTTGATCTCAATCTCGTACCTGAAACAGCCCACAAATATCACATTAGACATGCAGGTATCAGTTTGCACTTAATTACCACCGACGCTCACAGTTCACAGACGTTGAATAGTTTATTTTTCACAACGCATTCTCACTTTGTCTTGTAGTCGTCCACATTTCTGTGCACGACACTGTTCTCCATGTCCAGTCTGTGTTTGTCGTTGTTGATGAACTCCAGCTTGTTGTGCAGGTTGGCGATGTAGGACTTGAGCATGGGTTCAACGTTGGAGGAGGCGGTGGTCTGTCCCTGCAGCAGCTTCCACTTGGTCTCCAGCATTTGGTTCTGCTGCTCCAGGAATCTTACCTGTGGCAGACGTAGGTAGAAACCAACCAAATCAGACTTATCAGATACTTGACAGAACTTGTATAGACATAATAGAAGTCGTTGGCCTTTAAATAGACGTTAAAATGCCAAAAATGCAAATGTTTTATCAGGGTTAAATTTCCTCTTACCTTATCAATGAATGAGACGAAACGGTTGTTCAGCCCCTTGATCTGCTCTTTCTCCTGGGTGCGAACAGCTTGGACGTTGGGGTCGATGTCTATGTTAACCGGGGTGAGCAGGCTCTTGTTGACGCTCACGGCTGTAATGGGGGCCCCATGGTTGGCCCCGATGCTAATATTGGGGATGGAGTAGGACCCCATGGACACGCTGCTGAAGCCCCCTGGAGACGTGCGTAGTCCCTGGCGGCTGCTTCGCTTGCTCCTCAAACTCATGGTCGTGCTGTGTGGAGGTTTCTTCTCTCACTGCTGGGATGGAGGACGAAGAGGGCCGGGGGTGGTGGTTGAGCTCTGTGTGTGCATCGTCTTATCTCTTGGGTTCTGCTTTATAGGCAGGGTTGGGTGTGGTGCGATAGGGAAGTTATGCGGCTCCCCCAATGTGGGTGAACCAGTCAGACGCATGCTGCCTGTTCTCCCACCTACCACCGCAACAGAAGTTGCATTGTTTTCTGTTGTTACGCTGGAATTCAGACTGGCTTTGCAGCTTCGGGTTTGCTGCATTTGGGCGTTCCGAGAAAAGTCAGAATTGTGATCCAAGAAGTCATCAACCAAAACCATCAGTGATAATACATTTAAAAAACACCTGTGGAATCAGGACAAATATTTATATTGGTTTTATGCCAAAATGAGGTTTCACTGTAGTGTACAGTTGTGTTTTTAAACAACAGGGTCACAATTGCTGGTAAAGATTAACATACTGTAGACGAGAGGTTTTCAAAGTCTGAGACTGTGCCTCCCCTCGGAAAAAGGCGCCTCTCACCCTCCCTTTACTTGCGTAGTTTCAGTCAATCCCTGGATGCCTTTAGGATCAAACAAACCAAACTAAACTCAACAACTGAGCCAAGACAGTCTATTATTACTGTTGAACTTCAGAATACACCAAATACAAAAACAGTCAATACCAGTGAAAATGTTGACATTCTTGCTACAGACATATTGTTAAATGTTACGTGGAAAACTATTGTTGGTGGCAGCCGGTTGTAAATAAAAAAAACTGGGCTGTCCTCTTTGTGTCAAACAATCTTTGCTGCTTTCTTTTCAAACTCTGTCTCTTTTCAGACTGATTAGCCAATCATCGCCTCCCTTTAAAAAAAACAACTACAGAGCAAATAATCCTCTCACACAACCTGTTGTGGGTTTATTCTGGAGGTTTGTCAAGACTGACGCTGTGCCATCGAGGTAAGTAACGCTGGGAGAGACTGTGTGTGTGTGTGTGTGAGTGTGTGTGTGTGTGTATATTTAAAGCAATTTTACAAACGTATTTTTACTCAAATTAAAATGTCTCTATTAGCTCTTCTCTTGTCGGATAATGAAGATCGCCTCGTTCAACGTACAGAGGTTTGGGCTGACCAAAGTCTCCGATCCAGATGTTCTGTCAGCTCTCGTTAAGGTAAAACGCATCAGCAAAGACATCACACAGCTGAAGATCAGTAATGATCAGCGTTGAGTTTTTAGAAATGCGCATTCCTTGTTTTTGTCTTTTGTGTTTTGTAGATTGTGTCTCGATACGACATCGTAGTGATTCTGGAGGTGGTGGATGTGAGCGGAGCTTCTGTTAAAACGTTCTTGGAAGAACTGAACAAGTGAGTTCACTTTTCTTTATTCATTTCTGAATGAGTGAAAGATTTTGTTTGATATATGTTCTTTTGATACTGTGCTAGAGTCAACACAACCCATCACTACGCTCTGCAGCTCAGCGCCCGCCTGGGGAGGAGCAGATACAAGGAACAGTTTTTGTTTCTGTACAGGTGAGATCAAATCACGTCGCCGGAGTGCAACACTCCTGTAGCGTCACCACCGAACAGCTGCACTAAAAGGTATTTTTTTTGTGTGCATCCACACGTGTGAGATATGTCGTGATGGGTGCATGTTATCGTAGAGATGAGCGTCTGTGGCTTACAGGGCTGTTTACGTTTGCAGTGCTGAAGAACGTAGTGCTGATCCCGGTCCACGCCACGCCGTGGGACGCGGAGAGAGAGCTGGATGAGCTGTACGAGGTCTTCCTGGTGGTCAAAGACAAATGGAAAACCGATGTGAGTGGCATCATCAACAGGGTCACAATAAGATTCAAGGGTTTAAGGACCATTTATTCTCATTATGCAACACAGAGTCCGCTCTGTCCTGCGATCCAACCGTAAAGTGCAGCTTGATCTGGGACGCCACGATGGAGCCAGGTCTCTGTAGAGATGTGGGATCAATAAATAGCTGGTAAAAGGCAAAATGTGTAACCTGCAGGATTATTACAAGTTCCCCACGAAAAAGAATGGCCACAAAAGATGCGTTAATATGCTGTAGACCAGAGGTTTTCAAAGTGTGAGACTGAGGGCTTCCCTAGTTCACTTGCTTAGCTCAACTCCTGAATGCCTAGTGTCATTTTTATGTTATTTGATCCCTTGACACTCAACAATTGAGCCAGGATAGCCTAATATTACTGTTGTAATAACTTCAGACTACATCAAATATATAAAAAAGGTTTGTCCTAAAGCATTTATTATTTTCTGACTCTGGGAAAACTACTGAACCAAATCACAGACATTTAAGTTATTCTCTGTGATCTTCTTTTGATAACTAATATAATATTGTTTCACTGAAAGAAGAGCTTTAATTAGTTCAAGATTCATGACAAGACATATTTCTATTTCATACTCTTGTAAACAAAGTAATCACACCAATTACATGGCCTATAAACTATCCTTGAATTATGTTGTAACCTGGATCTTCTGATGGGATTTCTCCGTATCCTCACTAAGGCATACAAGAGCTTGTATTGGCACTAAAATGGACATATCTGATTTCCTCTAGAACATAATGATCCTGGGGGATTTCAGAGCCGATGGTGCGCATGTCACCCATAAGGAGATGAAGGGGATTCGTATTCGCAGCGACAAGAATTTCCACTGGCTGATTGGCGACAACGTGGACACCACGTCAAACACCTCCAACGACCACTCCTACGACCGGCACGTCTGCACTGATACAAATACATTCATGCAACTCCAGAAGGAGAGAAACTGTACACATCATCATTATACATGTACATGAAATAACGGAGTGAACTTATGTGCAACAGGATTGTTGTGTATGGAGAAGATATGCTGGCAGCCCTTGTGCCAGACTCAGCCAAGCCGTTCAACTTCCACAAGGAGTTCGCTATGACGGAAGAAATGGTGAGTTTGTCCCTCTTTGTCGAAGTTCAATCTAATCTAATCTGACAACATGTTCTGTATCGCTCAGTGTTGTTCCTCCTCCTGCAGGCCCTGAGAGTCAGCGACCACTACCCCGTCGAGGTGGAGTTACGTAAAGCTCCTCCTTTCTGGGTGACGAAGGATTTCCAAAGATGTGATGTTGGCGATACCCGGCGAGCTTCAGGTAACAGAGCTGTCACAAGTTGAGGAGCCAAACTGTAATTCTCTCCGTCACAGACAGACAGGAGCTGACCTACTTTACTTCTTTAGATATTTACAGAGCAGTGTGGCCTTTGTGAAAGACGAGCGCAACTAATGACAAAGAATGCTTGGAATTTGAGCTTCTTGTAAAACTATTTTACAGCTCAACTTAAGGTTTTACTTTTGAAAAGCTCTTTTTTTTGAATGCACATGATCTAAACTTGGAACTTTTATTTTTTTTGTGTTTGATCAATGCAACGGCTTCACATTGTCTAGAAATCTCAGATCAAAACTCAGTAACAAGTATTGCTAAACGTTGTAACTACGTCAGAAATGAGTCAAGACCAGAATCCGACCTTTTTGCATCTATTTAACCATTTCAAAAACAACCAAACTGCAGTTATAACACTCCAGCTAGTTATAGCGAGATCTATTTCACCCTCTTTCTATTGTTGTAAAAACCCATTTTGATGCTCCAACATCTTCGTAACCGAGTTTGATTTACCACGTGAATAATTTACAGTTGCTAAATCTAATCATAATGAATTGAAAACACAAGTAATGCTGCTAAAATGGGTTCAAATAGATGAGAAGGGCCAAAGAAGAAACAAGAGCATATTTGTTTGTAGGTACTGAGTTACCCCTGTGCCTTTTAAACGGTGAAAACATGCAGAATCTATGTTTTATTAGGTTTTATAAGGTCTGTGACAATGCACTGAGGCCATATTTGCAGGAGAAACGCATTTCACTCATCAGAAGCTGAATTCAATAGCCTATACACATATTTGAAGAATTCTTTCCAGTGACAGTTATCACCCACTGTCCATGTTACTAATTAGGCCATATGTGTGTGTGTGTGTGTGTTCGTGTGTTCTCTACTCACAGAAAGCCTGCAGGCCGATGTGTTGGAACTGCAGAAAGAAAATCTCTTGCTGGAGCGAGAAAAACTTCAACTTCAGATCTGCATGTTAAAACAGCGGCTTGCCAAACTCCAACTGAGAAAATGACAAGAAGATCTCAAACACGACTGGCTTTTGTATAATTTAGAAATGTATATTGCAAAAATGAATAAATAATTGGTGTCATACACGAATGTTGTCCTTTGATTGTGATTTGGCCCTGATATGGCTTGTTTAGGCTACAATACAAGTCTGGTCCCCAGTGAGAATGAATGGTGGTGCAGTTTGTCTTCCAGACTTATAGAAAACCAAATAAAAACAGGGAAATGAACGAGTTTATTATGATACGTAAATCTGTCAACTTTAAATAGAAGGTAAGCTATTTCTAAACCAGTGTCAACATATAAGTCTATTTCAGAAAGGCTTTTCTTTTATTGACAAAATGTAAAATACAAAGAATTCAGGTCAACATTAGCAGCATCTATAGAACATATGTAGTTAATTAGTATAAAACACATACACACAAATATATCTATATATATATATATATATATAGATATATTTCTATAGTTGTTCAGTAGACTAACTAAGAGAGCTAAATTCAAATAGAAAAGGTAAAAACTTAAGGAGTGAATTAAAGAAAACAGTTTATGAATGACTAAGTTCAATATCTCATATGCCAACATTTCCAAATGTTAAAGAGCGCCTTCATGTGGATTTGAATATTAAAAGATAAAAACCTGTGAAGAACGAGTAGAAGGCAGAAACGACTGACGTGTGCTGCCTTCAAGTGACCCACGTGAGCTCCGGTTTTCAGTGGTCTACAGTCGTTAGAACACGAGCTGCCACTCATGCCTGCAGTTAGACATGACAACGAATATGACTTGTTGTCAAATGAGTTAACACTCAGGTGATATTTCAAAAAACTAAAAAAGATACAGCGGTACGTACGTTTTATTTGTTGCAGGGAAATACTAAACATCAGTTTCCCCGTTATTCTCTACAACACGTGAAGTAGACCAAATCTAGTCACGTGACTGCCGGAGCACTTCCACCACCCCTGAAAGAATCGAGCAGTTTTGTAAACAACCGTGCCAAAAAATTAAAAAAAAAGGTGTGCGACCGCGAGCCAACCACTTCCTCAGTGTCGATCGAGCTAACACCGAATCCTCGCGCTCACCTGTCCGGTAGACAGGCCGCCTCAATGCATCACAGAGGACCGAGAACGCAGCGGGGATCATGGATGTGTACGATCTGTTTAGTAGTTGCAGAAAGGGCGACGTGTGTAGAGTCAGGTAACCGACGGATCAGCTGACGTGTGTGTGTGTGTGTTATGTCAGATTGCTGCACCAGCGTTACTTCCTACCCTGTTTAAAAATAACAACAACAACAACAACAGTCTTGAGCTTATTTACTTAGCTTCTTCTGGGGGTAAAACGGTAGCATTTTCTGTTTTCAACAAGTCACAACGGAACCTTGCAGCTAAACTCAAAGCTAACTGCAAAGTTTGTTTTGCAAAGAAGTGGGAGGTAAACAAGGGCTGCTAACATTAGCGTTGATGACCCAGCTGGTAACTTTAGCTAATGTTTACGTGCAAATCAGCTGCTCAGTTTACAAATGTTCATTTCAGCTTCATATCAGACACATATTATCCATGTCAAATAACAAAATAATAATGATAAAGACAATCCGAGGACAACATAAAGGTGTCCTCGTTGCAGTTCAATCCACAGTGATTAAAAGACAGGATGAATACCTTGTGTTTACCTTTGTGTTAAGGCCATTTGTGCACAGAGATCCTGCATGCATCATTAAATGCCACCTGAATCATCTGTACACATATGATATTTACATGCCAGCATCTGTGTAGCATCTCATTTCTTTTATTTCCTCTCCTAGATACCTTGTTGAACAAAGAGACGTGGACCTCAATGTAAGAGATAAATGGGACAGCTCCCCTTTGTAAGTACAACTTAGTCGAGCGGCCCACTTCTCTGGCTAACACGGCTTCATCATCCTAACAACTTAAAATGTGAACGCTCTTGTTCCTCAGGTATTATGCTTGTCTCTGTGGTCATGAGGAGCTGGTCCAGTACCTGTTGGCTAATGGTACGTTTGTTAATGAATAATTAATGAATAATTAAGTATTGCAGACATAAGTAGATAGGCGCTCTCAGTAGAGTGCAGATCTCTGCCAGGTGTTTGCTTTAGGGTGTCATTGAATGCACACACCCCGCAGTTGGCTAAAATTATATAATGTATTTGTCTCCTTTGCTTTGCTTTCAGGTGCCAAGTGTGAAGCCAACACGTTTGATGGCGAGCGGTGCATGTACGGCTCTCTGAACGAGTCTGTTCGACGTCTGCTCAAAGACTACAAGTGCATCAGTGTGCGCGCCATGCAGCGGGACGACTTCAACTACTTTCTGCACATGTACGTTTGGCCATTCGTGTAAATGATCCACTTCCTCTTCTACAGAGCTGGAGGCAGAACAGTTCGTTCTCCTTTTTTTTTTTTTTTAGTAGTTCACAGTAAAAACCCTTATACCTCCATTTGCTCTAGGTTACTGGAGCAGGGTCCACACAGCGACGTCAAGTTCCTGGTTCACGGACAAATATTCACGGCCCACCGCTGCATTCTCAGCGCACGCTCAGAGTACTTCACTGATATGTTGGAGAGCAAATGGAAAGGGAAGACCTTGATCACCCTCAAACACCCTTTGGTAGAGACAAATATACGTTGATTGCTTCTGTTATCAGCTTTGTTATTAGATGGTCGTGTCTATTATACAGCCATGCAGGCACATTGTGTCTACATCTGTTTGGATGAAAGCCGTTTTGATTTTCAGATCAACCCTTCAGCCTTTGGAGCCATTCTGCAATATTCCTATACAGGTCAGCGCCAAATATTAAGGCTGAACAGTTTTAAGACATTGCAGGAAAATTCAGTCTGTACTAGTTTATAAATGTGTCAAAAACAAAGATTCATCATTCTGGAAATCCAATAAAAATTGTTTATTTTAATGGAATATCAACTCTTTTCATTCATGTTTCTTTCTTAATGTTACAGGACGAATGGATATTGATATAAGCCTCGTGGAGGACTGCAGACGACTTGCCAAACAGTGCAAGATGGAAGATCTGATGGAGGAGCTGGAGAATAAGTGCAAACAGCTGTATGAATTTGGTAAGTGTAACATTATCAGGGAGAAAAATAGGATGCACCAGAGTGTTTAACCACAGGTGTGTAGTCATAGTTTGGGGCAGGATGTGACATGTTGTTGTTGTTGTTTCTGTGTAGCGTAGATGAGCAGATGAATTCTATAATAACGTGATATCCGATCGGTGCATAGACTAAAGTGCTCATTGATACCCGACTCTGCATTCTAGTCTGTATCCGAGGCATTTCCGTTATTGGTATTGGAACTACTTTGTCTCCACACGAGTGACGTCTGTCTCGTCTTTCCTTCTGTCCTCATCAAGTGTCCAACAAGCCGGGAATCTGTGTGAAGGTTCTCAGCCTGGATCCTCACAGCTGTCAACTTCAGGAGGAGATGGCCCAGTTAGCCGACTGTGCACTTCCCACTGAACTAAGAGTAAGGAGGCGACGGCAGGAAAAAAACAGGATTGCTGCTGCTGTAGCAGTTTATTGAGCCTGTTTCTTCTTCCCTGTCGGTTCTTCCCAGGTTGGATTTGGTGAACTTCCCTTTAACAGAGTCGACCGCTTCCCTACTTATCCCGACATCTGCTTCAGAGTCGACGGTTTCAACTTCTTGTGCCATAAGGTGCGAACAACAAAGCTCACGCAACATTTCACGGCTACTTTACAGCCTCTCGGCATTAAAATGAATATGTAGATTCGCTGTGTGTTTGTGTCTCCAGGCGTTTTTCTGTGGGCGTAGTGATTATTTTAAAGCCTTGCTGGAGGACCACTTCAGTGAGGGAGAACAGCTGCAGTCCCAGCCCAGCACCCCAGTGATTACTTTACACAACATCTCCCATGAAATATTCATCCACGTCATGTATTACATCTACACCGATGACACAGAGGTCAGTGCACAATTTCTGTCAACGAGTTTATTTTGTGTAAGAACATTTTTTTAAATTGTTGCTTATCAGTCGACCAGCTGAGGAGTCCTAAAAGAGACAATGAAACAGAAGCGCCACCTTTTATGGATCAATTTGTGGCCGACGGACTGGTTTCCTACGGTTCGGCATGAGTTTGTATAAAAGAAACAAAGTGTGTGAGGGTAAAGGAGTGTCTTAAATATGCAGTTTAAGGGTAGATTAAAAAAAAAAAATGATTATCCTAAAACACGTTATTTCTTAAGAGTTCTTCCTGTTGTATTTGAACACGTCACCAAATGTTCATTTATACTAAATAGAGCATGAACGCATCATAATGTAACTGAATGGCGCCTCCCTATATTAGCTGTTAGCTGTTAGCTACGTTGCTAGCTCTCCTCCTGCCGATTTCCACACAGATTTGTTGTTCACAATGTAGCATTATCGGCGAACGCCGATCTCCCGATTGCATTTTTTTTTATTGAATATCGGTCAATAACGATCAGCAGTAAAACTTTTTTTCACACGCTGATTTATTTATTTATTTTTGTATGTGCCTTCATTAAGGATATGTGTGTCTGGGACAAGAAAATCGTTTAATTTGACCGTTTGTGTATGTCGCTCTCCTAATATGTTGTTATTAACACTGCGGTATAGGGGATCCCGACCTTACATTACTATCCAATAACCATAGTTATTATGGGTCTTCAGATGTTGACACCCTGACAGGTTTGCATCCTTGACCTATGCAACATACTAAATATTTAAAACTCTATATTGAGTGGGGGACATCTACCAAAAAGTACAATAACATTTTCATTATCTTTTACAATGTAACCAGTGATGGTGAACACTAATATTACCATTTTGTTAATGTCACTTGAATGCTCATCATTATTACCTAACTGAATATATATATATATATATTTTTTATTCCCAGCTAATAACAGAGATCGTGTTTGACGTGCTGTGCGTGGCCGACATGTATCTGCTGCCCGGGCTGAAGCGTCTTTGTGGGAAGACGCTCTCTAAGACGATCTGCGAGGACAACGTTCTGTACATGTGGAAGATGGCGAAGCTTTTCCGTCTCTCCCGGCTGGAGGATAACTGCACAGAGTTCATGGCTAAGATCATTGAGCGGGTGGGTGTCTGTTTCTCTGTGTTGACACTTTATTTTGGCTGGATAACAAGAAGCGTGTGGGATATGGCAGCTGGTGGCTGAAGTGCACACAACACTTGATGTCTGGATGTTGAATTTGGAGCCAGCTGAAGTTTAGCTTGGCTCAGCATAAAGCCTGGGAGCAGCAGGAAAGAGTGGTTCAGCATGTAACGCCCCATGAAACTACAATTTGTCTACAACTACAATTAATTAGTGAGGTGCTGGAGGTGGATTTATTTATTTCACCTTTAGATAAAGCCAGGCTAGTTGTTTCCCCATTGTTTTTAGTCTTTATGCTAAGCTAACCATGTCTAAGCTCTTGCTTCATATTTAACAGAAAGACATGAGAGTGGAATCGATCTTCTCATCTAACGCTTGGCAAGAAAACGAATAAGCGTGTTTCCCAAATTGAAAAAAATACTCAAAGTAAACTTATACATCTAACATCGCCATTACACGTCTGAGGCCACACAAATATTACTTTTTGTTGGTGTGTCTGTGAGCTACGAGTGTGAGATTTAACACCTGCGAGCTGAGGTTAATGTTGTGGATGTACAGGTCAGCCATACTCACCCCCCCCCCCCCCCCCCCCCCCCCCAGGATAAATTCCCACCTGTCTTACCTGTCTATCACAGCTGGTGGAGCAGGCCGAGTTTGCAGAGATCATCAAAGAGGACGCCGCGTCTGTGGAGGAGCGACAGGAGACGGACTCCGTCCCCTTGGTGGACGAAATCCGCTACCACATCACCGGCAACTTGCAGACCTACAGCGCGATAGAGGAGGCCAATCAGAAACTGGAGGCCTTAGAGGAGTTGCTCTGCAGCATCAATATTTACTGCTGAGGGGCTCGACGGGTTGCGGGTTTGAAGTTTTTAAGTTTTTATGCTTTGGGAGGGGATCTACGGTGGTGCAAACATAGAGAGAGGAAACTCGTCTCCGTGGGTTTTATTTTATTTACAGTATATTGTACAGAATATATATATTTTCAGAAGACTGTTGTGATGCATATTCAGAGAACGCTCTTAAGGTGGAGTCTGCGATTCTGGAGAAATATTGTTGATGTTTGAACTCAACACCTGAACGAATCCTTTACTTTGAATTTAGCGGCCCTCTCACTTCCACTGTTTTCTCTTTATTCATCCAAGTCCTCCTCCCTGTCCTGTGCACGAGCATGAGCATGAGCGCCCCCTGTTGCCGATTGTATGTATGAACACCAATCTTTGACAAAGAGAGTACTGGATTAGAATCACTGACTGCACCTTTAAATACTTTTTTAAGTAAGACATATCAAAAGACATTTGGTATATAGCACCAAGTTCTGTTTGAGGACATTGTGTATGATGTATTTACACAAGCATGGGTTTGTTTTAGGCATCATTTTGTAGCTGCTAGAATTTAGACTAGCTGGTTATTTAGCTCTTTTAAACTGTACTTTGGCCCCAACAAAGTTCAGCACCAGCCCTCAATTTATGCTCCATGAGATTTAATTGTAATGCTCTTAGAAAGCCAAACGAGTGCATGTCACCAATGCACCGACACGCACTCGATAACTCTGGGTAAAAAGACGGAACGGTGGAGTAGAGGTTCAGTTCATTCATCCAGAAAATGTTTTTAACCTCAATTTTTATGTTAAGTTACATAGAATATAGTTTTATTATGTATTTCATGTGCAGAAGCATTCAACTTTTATCATGGATTTGATTGAATGTGGCGGCTGAACTTCGACCTGTTACGTTGCTCCTGTTTCACACTTTATTACTTATTGATGCACTTATTCCCCTTTAACATTTTCCTCCCCTTTATTTAAACCTTAAATGGAAAAACTAATTTCCTGATGGCTTGTATGCGACAAACCTCTCTTGACCAGTGTGCGCACAAGAAAATAAATCTGAAATGTTTGCATGTAAAATCCACCATCCCAAAAAAATGGAAAGATAACTGCTCCTGGTTTTGGCAATTAAACGTGGTATTGCAAGAGTTGTGTTTTATTCAGAATATTTAATGAATTTTGCATTTCATTGGTTTTACTTACATAATTCATGATGTCCACCACTTTGGTCCTGACTGAAATATCAACAACTAGTAGATATGCTGCCATGAATTTCAAGAGTGTGCAGAGCAGCGGCCATTAGCTAGCCAGTGGGACACACACACACACACACACACACACACACACACACACACACACACACACACACACACACACAAAGGGAGGCGAGTGTGAAATAAATTAATATGATAAAATAAGTACAGAGTTTGAGTTCTAATGGCTGTGGTGCTGTTCCTGTGTGGGCTGTCTGCTCGTTGACCTTAGGGAGGTGATGAAAAGTTTGGTTGTAATGTTATCCAGCACTCATGTAGCCTCACACCCAGCAGTCAAAGTGAGCCGGACGACATGGTGGACTCTGTCGAGCCTTGTAGCTCCGCCCCCGCTGCTATAAAGAGCCAAAGAGCATCTGTGACAGCATGTTAGCTCAGTCATTATTAGCATTAGGATGTTAGCGTTTTAGCTCAAAGCACAGCCTGCTGTAGACTCCTGTTCTTTCTTGAAGCAATATTTTACTCTCTAGAAAACAAAATAGTTTTTTTTCTTCATTATAAAAAAGTAAAAGTTAACACAAGAAACTTTCGTTTTGTGTCGATCTTGGTCGCACCAGACTCCCTTTAGAAAACCCGTCATTTTACTGCATCAAGGGGTCTGACAGTCTGGCCCTCTCAGTCCTGGTTCTGGTTCTGCCGTGCCTCTCTTCCCTCCGGCGGGCCCAGCTTTATGGCCTGGGCCTCCAGCAGCGTGGTGTCTGTTTTGGCTCCCAGGAGGGAGGAACCTGCATGATTTGATCTGATTTTATGAGGAATCCGACACGATGGCACTAATGACGAGCATTAAGAATAACTATATAGAAATAGCCAGTCTTCTCGCTGATGGTCTTGTTTCCTTATGAAGGTCATATAGAGGCATCAGTGTTAATTGACTGTTGCATGACCAGTTCAAAGGTCCTCACAGTAACTTTAAACAAAATGCAGATACAGCTGTGTGAATCAGAGGAACTCTTTCCTTGAATGTACATTTTAAGTCATCAAGGCGCCTGAAGATGGCGCCATTTCTCAGTTTATAATTGCCTCAGAAACAAAGCTCTTAACGCTTTGTGGGAAACAAATGAATCCATCACATAGGTCTCTCAATTCATGCCAACATTTCCTGACTGGGCCTGTCGGACAGTTGTGCATTTTTCAAATCACACATTCATCACAAGTCCACAAAGGTGAGAAGAAGGGCAGTAAATAGTGGGGCGCTGTTACATGTTTAAATGTGTGTGTGTGTGTGTGTTAGTGTACTTGCCCTATAGTTTATAATCAGTGTCCCTGTTGGCTCCATCACTCTCGTTTCAAAGAGTCTTGGGAGGTGAAGACAAAAGTGTACGTCACCTTAATGGAGCCCGATGTTCACAACAGTGGGTATAAGCTCAAATCCCAACAGGGAGTATGCTGTGAAGCAGAGCCGCTGTCAAAATACATTAAAAGTGCAGTTCAACTGAAAAACTAAAGCCATCCATTAACAAAAGCTTTGGCTTCCAGCCCAGCCTCTCGAAGGCCTACATGTTTGAAAAGACAAGAATAAACAACACAATTACTTATGACCCCAGCAAGCTTCCTTTGCAAATGTTTAATGGTTGTTGCCATGCGACTCTGTGTGGTTCTTTTTTTGGTCTTGGGTGGGAAAGTCTATTTTATTGGGTTTCAGATGGACATCCCACTGCCGGGGCAAACAGATATTTATGCGGTGTACAGGAATGATCTTATATTTCTCCTCTCTTTATTGGTGTCCATGGAGACTGTGTTTACAAGTCAACCCGGCGTCTCCTTAATAGCCGCTTGGTGCCTCAATTTGTTCCCATTCAACGCCTCTCTACACCTCCACGCTGGCTTCAAGTCACGGCCTGAAAACTGTGAGGTTGGATTCAGGTTAAAGCTTTTAATCTGAAATGTCAGTTGTGGTGGAAAATTTCTAGGTTAATCGGGAGGAGAGAGTTTTTGTTCATGAATTAATAATGAAGTCATCAGAAGATTCAAAGTTGTCTTTTTCCGTTTATTCTCTTGCAAGAGGGAAGAAAGCACAACAGCTACGTATTCAGTAGACTGCGTGAAACCTGCTTCGAAGTGCAATCTTCAACATCATTTATGCATACAAAAGTTCACGCCTTTACAACTTCAGATAATGCGTCAAAAGGGGAGTAAAAGTATTTCAGACAAAGGATGTCTGTTAGTCAAGGTCTCTCTGTGTCTCCGTCTTACCAACAAAGAAACAGTGTACAAGATAACAGATAACAAGACACCTGGATACTAAACTAATTAAATCTACAGAACTACTGTTCTGTGTCTGCACTTTTAATACTTACATTCTTTAAAACTAAGCATAATACGATAATATATTTTCCCATCACACAGTTTACACTGAACCGATGCGAGGGTCCCGGGACAGAGGATGTCGTACGTGTGAAGATTGTAAAGCCCTCTGAGGGTAATTTGTGATTTTGGAATATACAAAATAATTGTAATTTAATTGGATTGGATAGCCATGCATTTGTTTTAGAAATTCTGTGTACCCAGAGGATGAACCAGAGCGACTTTGATGACCCCCTGACTTTCCTCTAGTGCTGGTACCAACTTACTTTGTCCAGGGTCCAGTCAATAAACAAACATTAATAATCTTTATTAGATCAAATGAATAAACGTTAAGTTATAAACTCACTAACTTAACTTATTAACTTGATTAACTTCACAATGATTGACACTCAAGGCTTTTATCTAAATCAGATACTGTAGCACCTTATTTACATTAAAAGTACAAAAAAAATCCTGAACGGAATCCATTAATTCTCAAAATGTTCACGTTTGTAGTCGATGGAATGACGCTAAATTTGGTACAAACGCTCATGGTCCCCAGAGGATGAATCCACATGACTTTTGTGATCCCCTGACTATTTTTCCTAAAGCACCACCATGAGATTCACATTTGCTGTTTTGAGGAAAGTGTCTCAACAACTATCGGGTGGATTGTTGTAAAATCTGATGCACACGATCATGTCCCCGTGAGGATGATTTGTAATTACCTTCTCCATGATGATTTTTTATGTGTCTAATACTTTGACTGAGGACCAAAAACCACTGACGTTCCCGTCATCCTCGTCGAAACTAAAATATTTGAGCATTTAGTGCAAAGCGCTGCTGTATCACTAGCATGGCTGTGAACTCTTGGTCTTGTTTTCCCCACATTGATTACAAAACTCTTTTGTTAAATGTTAGCATGACTAACATATATAACTCGTAGTCACTTTGTTTCTCGGCACAGTGGCAAAAAAAAATTCTTTGCAGCCTGTCAAGCAAACCAGATCTTTAAACTCTCTGATACTATTTTCTTAAACAGATTCCATGTGAAGCCCAATTAACAACTCTTAAGAAAGGTCGAACTTTACTGTCAGTCATGGTTTTTAATGTTAAATGTCATTCTCAGCTGATGCTATGCACCATTGTGCTTATCTACATCACATCTCCCAAACACATCTAATTATGATTCATATCATTATTTTCCGCTTTCAAATGGCTTGCAACATACTGGCATCAGTGCAGTTTGGATATTCTTCAAGGTGCATCCTCTTTTGCAGAGGATACTTCACTAAAACTGTATTCTATTTTCCGTCCGTCAGAGTGTTGACTCATATTCAAGTCATGTGTCCTGTGCAGTCCTTACAAAACATGTTTAGCACAGATTGTTTTGTTTTTTGTTAAATCTTGAAGGGGTCAGCTGAGGGTTGAATCTCTTGGCTCTTGACTCATGCCACTGCATGACTCATTGAGACTTCACTGTGACATTTGTCTCCTCATACAGGAATCTGCAAGGGCAGAAATGTAGTCAACTGTAATTCTTTTCTGTTAATTCTTTTAACCTCCTTACAATAAAGGTTATTATCAGTCTAGCTGTTTGTTTGGAACTTGCATGTGCTTCACTTCTTTTAGGTTTTGCTGTGTCGTTATAAAGTTTGACTTCATGACGTGTAAGAACACGCAGAGCTGCGTCTCATGCCATTTGTGGGATTGTCTTTCCTGGAATGTATATCTCAACCATGCCGGTTTTTTTCTATATCATGCTCACATGTCGGATACATTACAGTTGGAACAGATGGAGAAGGCTATAT